ATCGTTCCACAACTTACGCAATTCCGTGGAATTGGTTTTCCATTTTCGTATTATCATGCCACCTTTTGAGAATTTCTACACTTTCAGTCGTAATTTTCAAAGCCGCTTGCAAGTCTTCTTCGTATCCAATCAAATTGTCGACATAAAACCATTCTGATAGTAATTTGCATCAGGAAATTCTTGTTTACATTTATCAAAATGATATTTGAGAGTTGCAGCTAATAAATATGGACTTGGTTTTAGTCCAAATAAAACTCTAATAAAGTTCATTTCTTGATATGAATTAGAACCGATATCATCAGTCCAGAAGAATCTAGTAAATTTCTATCACTAGGATCGATCAAAATTTGTAGATACGCTTGCTTTATATCCGCTGTGAAGGCGATTGTATTTTGTCGACAACTTTAAAATCATTTCAAATAGATTTGGATACAAGTTTTGTCCTTTAAATAAACAGTCATTAATCGAAAGTTGTCCCTCCTTCATGATGAAGAACCCATCAAACACGATTCGAAGTCGACTAGTAGATTTGTCCTCGCGAATGACCGCATGGTGGGGCAAGTAGAATGACTGCTCAGAATATGACACTTCAATATCTGACGACGAATTCTCAATGATACCTTCCTTACGATAATCATCAATTACCTTTTTATAATCCTCATAAAAAGCTGTATCATTTCTAAATCTCCTAACCAGACTATCGAGCTACTTCTCTATTATTTGCTAATTTCTCCTCCATACCTGGTTTCCACGGCAACTTTACACAATACCTTCCATCTACGAACCCAACAGAATTATTAATTTCATCAAGTATCTCCTGTTCCACAAAAATCAAACACTCCACTTCCTTGTTTTCAGTACCTAAACTTTCCAGTTCCTAGAAACGCCTGAGTTCAGCTGACACAGTGCTTTTATCACCCAAAACTAAGTTCACAGCAACCGTTTTACTCATATCACCACAATTTCCTTGCAAGGACCATCCAAGTTCTGTGTTTACAGCTACCAAAGACGTATTTAACCTTTCAAAACATTTTGTCAAATTCCAATAAAAATCTATACCTATTAATTAACAAGGAAATTTCATTATCATCTGACGCTTGATTATATCCCCACGTTAAAGTTAATCCCTTGGCTTCCATTTCAGCTCTCGTACTCTCATTCGGCAAATTAATCGCAGCCCTCGAAATTTCATCTGTCTCCAATACCTGTATTACGATTTCTTTTCCATCTAAAATATTTCGCAATCTCACTTCAACTCTGCGACATATTTGCAACCAAGGATCCTTTGCTCTAAATGAATAAATCTTTAATGCTTCTGACCTTAGACATTTTAATCCCAACTTAATAGATACATTTCTTTTAATAAAACTTTTCTCACTACCGTTATCAAGCATTGCAATAACTATACCTGACGATTTACGACCAACAATTTCTGTCATAACACACTGCAATAAAATCACATTCCTATAGTTTACAACTGAATTCGAAATAGTAGGCTGAATTTCGATTTCCTTTGGTTTTCTTCTTCCGGTTTTGAATTAGATTTACACTTGCTAGAATTTTCAAATTTAAAACAAATAGCTTTGGCATGTCTACCAAAGCAGAATGAATACTGTTTAGAGATTATTACATTTTTTCACAAAACAATTTGTGTTACAACACAATAGACATCTCCTTTCCTTAATTAATTTATCCCTTTTTTGTTGTACAGTCATGTTTTCACATTCAGTCTTATAGTGACCTTCACCACAGAATAAACAAACTTGGGAAGTTTTCGTCATAAATTCTGTTACTGACGCGTGTTGATTATTACGACTCGGAGGGAAATTTCGTTTCTGATTTCGAACATTGTTTTGTTTGTGTTGGTTAGAATGAAATTTATTATATGATGATACATTATTAGAATTAATACGGAATGCTTTTTCTCTTGCACTAATAGCATTATGTAAAAACTTCATGAATTCCTGTAAATCATGACAATTATTTATATTTTTGTTGAATTCTGAATTTGTTGAATTTTGTTTGAATGAATATTTTGTTGAAAATAAAGAAAATTCAAGAGTCAATTCTACTTGCAGATTTTTTAGTATTATGTTAGTCAGTATTGTTGTGTATGTTTCCGATTTGACATTTAATTCTTCTAAACATCTAATTTGAGTTTGGGCTTCAAAATAAAGGTTCCGAAGAGCCTGAATGTTGGAAGCATTTTTTACAGGTGTCAAATATAACAAATTTAATAAATGTGACAAGTGAGCATTTATTAAAATGTCTCTTTGGCCAAATGTTTCAGAAATTAATTTAACAGCCTGTTTATAATTCTCTGGAGTAATTGAGAATCCTTTAATGCTAGCTAAGGCTTTACCACCTAATAACGACTTTAAATAGCAAAATTTGTCAACCTCAGTTAAATTAGAATTATTATGCACAGAATTCTCAAACTGATTCCAAAAATCTAAATATTCTGAAGGCTCACCATAGAATCGAGGAAGCGAAAGTTTAGGAATTTTAGTTCTGTTTTCTAAATGCAAAGTTTTATTTTCTACGTGAACATTTTCTGGATTTACTGTTTGTTCACTTGACTGATATGGAACCTTTCCAATTGATTTAATTTTGTTTTGCAACTTTACTTTAACTGGTATTATTTTTTCATTATATTCATCTACTGTGTTAATTTCATCGTTAATTTTCTTGTTCTTCTTTCAACAATTCATCAATGTCACTATTTAGTATGTTAATAATTTCAATTTTACTATTCAACTGTTCTAAATATGAATCACATACATCTATGTCAATATCTGATTCATTCAAATATCTTTTTATCTTTTCTACTAACTTTAAAGTTTGTTCACGATATATGTCACGCTTAGTTCGAAGTTTTAACAATTTAGCCATTTTCACAGTTTCTAGTAACAGATTTTACCCCTCAGATACTTTAACAATAAATTCTAATTCTAGAATTCTAAGAAAACAAACTGTAATTTTCAACAACAAATCACACTTCAAAGCATTAACAACGAATTCTAATTCTAAGAAAACACAACATTTTCTTACTTGCAAATACATTCGAACTTCCAAATATCAATGCAAACATTCAGTAAATGCGAAAGCGAAAGTTGTAAATTTTTATCAAACAAGATGAACGATATCAAACCACTTTACTACTTCAACAATTACAAAATATTTCTATTCAAACAAATTTTCAACAAAACTATTTACTCAGCCCACCATTACGATATTTCCCGGCGACAGCACACTTATTACGAAGCGATTAACGATAGGAATGCGTAGTTCGAAAAGCGAGTATAACACTTGACGATTCTTGTTCGAACGCTATTTTTGTTTCGACGAGTTTGCATCAGTCTAATTTTGATCTTGATTTGGTCAGTTTGAATGCCTAGCAGACATCAGACCGCATGATCTAGAAAAATACATGACGATATCTTTCATTTATATTTAATGAAAACACCAAAATATATCACAGTAATGCAGACACATCGCAACGGCGAACCTATAGTTACATAATATAGACACACAGAATTCTTTTAGCGCAACAGCGCCCTCTATACTATGAAAAGTTCGAACTAAATACAAATCAAATACAAAGTATTTAGTATTGTACTGCTCGAGACGTGCAGTCTTTGGGAGGGAGGCAGTGTTACGGATTTGGCATTTAAATACTAATGTTGGTAAAATTACAAATTAAATTGTTTTATTCCCTGTGCAGTGCAGCGCGTTACGAATATTAGGAGAAAGCTAGGTCGGAAAATCAAAAATACCAGAGCACATGTATTTAATATTTAATAAATAAATATATGTTTTTGATTTCGAGAAAATACCAGAAAATTCCCGCGCATTTAAAAAGCTTATATAAACGGCATGAAAACCTCTCAGTTCGTTAGTTGTTGTTTTTAAGAGTTTGTATAGAGAACGGCTCTTTTTGACTATAGCGAAGTCGCGGATTAGCTTTCTCTAGCTGTTTTGATTACGTTCTGCTGAACATTTGAGTAGTTAAAAGATAACTACTGTGAGATATTGTAATTCTGCACGAATATCTGAGGAAATTTAGGCATTTTGGTTTACTTGTTGTGATAATAATAAATGTTTTTCATTTTTCATCGGAGTTGTGCATTTAATTCATAACGAACCCTTACGCACGCAGTAATATTTATCAATTTAAATTTTTCTATTCTATTATTCATTTGCTATTCAAAAGAATGCACCTAAGATTTTTTTTTTTTTTTTGAAATTTTGGTGTGATATATCTTGATAGGAATGTAGACGAATAAAGCTGTCTGTTGAGTCAGTGCCTGTAATTACTCTAAATAATCCGGTCAAAAGTTTAGCACACCATTCTACAGCTTGAGTGTGACAAGGGAAACTTTAGAATCCGATTGCAGCGACATGCGAATCTTTAACGGAATTTAGATGTGCTCATCTGTAATGTTCCTTAATAATGGAGGAGAAGAGATATTGCTACTATCCCGCCAAATCATGCTGGCCCAGTTTGTTGCTTCGAAACTGAGTTTGGCGTGGTGAAATTTTGAAGAGTCTTTTCTCTGGAAAAGTAATCGAGCTTCCAACCAATCGGCACAGCAGTAGTTCTGGTCAATAACGCCATTTCTCAAACCAACATTAATTACAGTTCGTTCTCTGTGTATCACATCAAGTTCTTCAAGGGAAATCTCAGTCAGTGCCAGATGGGAAATTATGGTACATGCTGTATCTTTAGCTAGCCCTGCAGAAGAAAATACATAGCTGATATATTCTGATTCTGGCTCCTGTATGAGCGAATAATGGTCCTTTTTTATCAGTTTATCAGTTTTATCAAGAATATGATATTTAATTTTAACAGGTTTTTCAAATTAAATATCATAAGGGCCAAAAGAAAATTATTTAGCGTAATTTGTCATAGAACGTTAAAAAGTTCTTTTTTATTTTTAAACTGCGTTTTAAATTTCAATTTCATTAAATATTCTAATTTGAAGCTCATTTTCTTGCAGGAGATGCAATGCTGGAACAGAGAGAAAGCAATCGAGAGCCACAACCATATGTACAAGTGACGAGAAGGACATGCTTTACAGAGCACCGCAAGCGGATGTCTTGTGGTTTGTTTCTAACTTCTTTCGTCGCTGTTTCTTGGGTTGGAGGTACTCATCTTCTACGAGCGATGTACGTCGACTACTCCGAAGCATTAGCAATCAATGCACAACTCAACTTGACGGCTACGAACAATCCACAGGAGAGCGAAAGGAGGAGTGCAATGCTATATCCTCTTTACAATGCTCCCTTCTTCACAACTTGGATCTGCACCACATTGAACTTTTTGTTTTTCCCAGTTTATCTCACTTCGAGATTTTGTGCACCAGCTTCGGAAAAGACATCCCTTAAAAAGGAACTCACGTATGTTATTCAACATGCATGTTTGCTTTTTATAAACTTTTCTCAATTATTGGGTCATAATATACAATTTATGTAACTTGCCTTCCAGAAACAATAATTATTTTATATGAAAAGATGTTTAAAAGTATGCGTACACTCTTTGAAGGTTGGTAGCTCCAAATAGCAGTAAATATGAACTTTTGGTGTGTCGTATATGTTAAAGTATGCGACACAACAGATTACAGTTTTCCAAACATTTTGGCTAGCTGATCCTCTTCCGAGATATGTTTGCTCAGCTTCCTTTACTCTTGCAACAATAATATGTCAAAAATCTTTTGAAAGTAATCTGTAGGCATTTATAGGAAACGCATAAAGTATTTATTGCACATTCATTCCATCAAACTGATAATTAAACCCCGTCATGCAGAATTTTACCGATTAAATCATAGTAATGACTGAAGAATTCTTAAAGAATTAATAGTAAATCACTCTGCAAAACATGCACAGATATTTGCCAACTTAGCAGCTGTGGAAAGCATTGACAGAACATTCTACTTTCATGTACTGCATATCTTTTCACGTGTGGATTTATGATCATATGTTTAGAGTATGAAATTTGTATGTTATAATTCCTGTTCCTTAGAGTAAAAAATGGAATTTATATACAATTTTGGCCAACATGTTATGAAGGGTTGTTTGAACTGAACTGGTAAAATACTTGTAAAAATGCTTTATGTTTCGAATATTTGCTCAAACAAGACAATGCTTATATGTTTGTTTCAAAGCTGTTTAGTCAATAAAATCTCCCGGATATATTCTTGTTGTCTAGTTGGTATTTAACGTCCTCTTACTACCCCCGTGAAAGATTAACTCTTCCCATCAGATCTCCTCTTTGCCGAACCTTGGTCAATAACGTCAACATTGGCCAGCGTCGTAGAAACTATATTATAGGTTTTCAAAATATCTGCTATTGGCATTAATACACTCATGTCCATAAATTAAGGATAATTCGGAGTCACGCGGAAATCGAACTCTAAAATAAATATGTCACCTGTAAAATCACTACACACATCTTCAAGAATCATATGCAAATTTCAGAAAGTAACCAGATGACACCGATGGTACGTCACAATGACAAGAGTGTAAGAGACTGATATATAAGGAATACAGGCAAAGAAGTAAAATTGTTCACAGGCGCTTTATAAGCATTTCAGTGCAATAACCGAATAGTTATGACACAGGACACATTTGGATGATTTTTTGCGTAGTAGAATTATCGGCCGTCTGGAATGTGGGCGTACCCAACTGGAAGTATCAGACGAACTTAGAATTGCCCAGAGTGTCATCTCCAGGCTTTGGCAACGATTTCAAGATGATGGTAATGTGAGTAGATGTTACAGCACAGGTCGCCCCAGAGTTACAACGCCGAATGAGGACCGGTATTTGGCAGTTACTGCCAAAAAAAACAGGTAGAGCTCAACCTCAGACCTGTCTCGTCAGCTTTCTTCAGCCACTGGTACGAGAATTTCAAGACAGACCGTGTTCAGACGCTTAGGGCAGATTGGTCTATATGCTCGTAGACCTGTCAGATGCGTTCCACTTACTGCAACTCACTGTCGCCTGCGGTTAGCCTGGTGTAGAGAGCATGCCTTATGGACACCGCAACAGTGGGTTTGTGTGATGTTTTCCGACGAGTCCAGGGTTAGCTTGCAGTCTGATTCTCGCCGGACGTTCATATGGAGAGCTCCAGGTATCCGTTACCACCAAGAAAACATCATTGAACGACACCGTTACGGTGGTGCAGGAATGCTCGTTTGGGGTGGAATTATTCTGGGTTCCATAACTTACCTGCATGTTCAAATTGGAACCATGACAAGCCAAATCTATCGGGACGTCATTCTGGAACAACATGAACTCTTTTTCGGGGTGCCATGGGCGCACAATTTGTGTTCATGGATGACAAACCCCGTCCTCACCGTGCAAACATCGTAAGCGAATGCCTTCAATCGGAGGTTATCACCCGTATGGACTGGCCAGCATTCTCACCGGACTTGAATCCAGTAGAGCACGTGTGGGACATGCTTGGCCGATGAGTTGCAGCCCGTCAACCTCCTCATACATGTCTACCGGAACTTCGGAGAGCATTGCTTTGAGTGGTGTAATATCCCCCAAGATCAGATCGATAATTTGATACTCAGCATGCCTAGGCGTTGTACGGACTGTATTGCATCGTCTGGGAGACATACAATGTATTAACAGTCATACCAACCATGTAATATTGGTTTTTTGTAAATAGGTGTTTTTTGTAATTTGCTCCAGGGAGAAAAAATCGCTAATTTTTTTTTAATAATATCAAACATATAGTATCTTTTTTTGCTCTTTACCTTGTGATGTTGCTTGGCCCCCAACTTGTCCGCAACAGTAGTAGTGACTGCTATGAACTGCAAATTACACAAACTCGTAAGAAGGGTTTAATCCCTTTTTATTTCATTTTAGAAATTACAGTTGCGTTCACTTGACGCTCACAAACTGCGCCGACCCGGCGGTGCAACAAAAATAGAAAAGTACAACTAAAAATAAATAACAAGATGCATAACTAACGAAGTCACTATCTATGAGGCTCTATAAACGTGACTAACTTAACCGCGTTCTAAGATACAGCTGAGATTTCAGCAAACTTTCTGAATAAGAAGTTGAAAGATTCAACTAACTGCCGAAGTAGGCACACCGGCCGAAACGCGCGGTTCTTAAATTTCTACCAAGCAACCTTCACGCTCGTGAATCAAGAAGCACACTTACAAATCTCGTTTCCCTTCCATTTAACTCAAATTGTTTCTGCTAAAAATTTGAATACTCTGCGCGTTCTACTAAAATGTACATACTCTGGCATTGGCAATTCTAGGGGAAAGTAAAGGCTTGACAGGAAAGATAGCTTAAAATAAATGTTAGTTAAAATAAATATAACCCTACAACCTTTTGTTTAATAAATAAGCTTTACAAATAAGAAATTTGTTTTGCTTCTAACTCTTCCTTTGCCTGATTTTGCATTATCCTTAATTTATGTACATGCGTGTATTTTATCTTAAACGATGTGCAGTAGATCAATCAACTTAAACCAATATGTTTCCGCGGCAAGGAAACACGGAGAGTCTTATTGTGATATCTCGTGTAATGTAAACATCTGACTTCCCGGTGGAGTTTTGTGCCTATCTGCAATATAGCTTTAGTTGCTCTTTTCCTACTACACTGTAACTGTTTAACATTATAAAGGATTATGGCATTCTTATGTGCGTGCAGTAGTGTTACAAATAGTAACATTTTTAGCCAGCAGCTGGAAGATTTGTGGTTCGAATTCTGATGAGGCCAAAATTAATTTTTATTTTTCTTGCTCCCAAAACTCTAATATCTCTACAACATCTTATACAAGTAATTCTGGTTCAAAATTGTCACATAATCTGGCTATCTTTACTGTAGCGGAAGTTCTGTCCTTCGTTGTCTTTTCATCAACTCACCAAAATTGTTGATACAGTAGCAGATGTTCTGTCCTTCTTTGTCTTTTCATCAACACATATTCCCAGTTTTCCAGGATTAATTTATAAAACAGTGACATTGCACGAATAACCATTTAGTGACCTCTGCCATTTTGTATACGCTAAAGTTCTCCACCGATGGAAATAGAAACTAGAAAATATCTATGTATGCTCAAACACTCTAAACATGTGCATTTCTGCGCAAATACAGAATGCCAAATCAAGTCATACGTCACAATTTTTGTTATTATTTAAAGAATGTAAACTTTATTGTGGAGCTCCCTATATACTTAACTAGAAATAAACGTGGACATGAACCGACTATCATTTAAATCTTCTGTCCTGATTTATAATTTTTATATTGTGACTGAGATGGACTACTAAGTACACCAACGAATGAAAATAAATTCTTCTAATTAGATTCTTTGCAGTATTTATTTTCATACTGCTTTTAATGTATTGCGTTTTTAAAGAACATCATGTATTTTGTTCAAATTCCTTAATTAAGAGAAATGCAAATGGAGAGTTATGAAACGACTTAAAACGCATTAAAATTCAAATGATACTGTGAATGTCTTGGAAGGCATCAGCCTGTGGGGTCTTTGTTTAAAAATATATATAATTTGCTTTTTTACTTATTTGATTTATAAGGCATTTCCCCGCCTTCCTAGCATGCCTTCGTGGTGTGGTGGTCTGCACGCTAGACCTGTATTCCAGCGGTCCGTGGTTCGATTTCCGGCGAAGGCGGTTGCTCATTTTTCAACTCTCCGGCTTTTCATACTAACATAATGTCTGTACAGATTGTTTAAACAAATTTCATGAATGAAATACCACTCATCATGTTTGTCCCTTTACTACTGAAAGTGTATTTGAATATTCTTATTTAATAAAACTCTGTTGTTATTTTGTGAAATTTATTCATTAATGTAACGTTGTCGCAATGAGTGGGTTTTATCTCTAGAATATTATTGAAATAATTGGAATTTCTAAGCACCTCATTTGTGATTTCTTTTTTCCAGGGAGAGCGTGCAACCCTACCAAGAAAGAGGACTAAATGTGGGCAAATTCCTTTGCCGTTGCGGAATGTTCACTGCTTTGTGGGTCGTTACAAACTACATGTTCGTTTATTCCCTGAATCTCTTGGACGCCACTGACGTCATAGCTCTTTACACCACAAACGCTGCCTTCATCTATCTTCTCTCATGGGTCCTTTTGCAGGAGCAGTTCGTCGGCATAAGGGTAATTATAGACCAAACTAGCTGCAGTAGTCATTGGGCTATGATTAATAACCTAATAATACATTATGAAGTAATATATATATATATATAAGTAAGCAAGAAAGACAACTAGTAAATGCTGTTTGATAAATGATTTGATCATAGAAATAATAAACTATCGTATAAATAGTAGGTGCTTTGCAAAATGAGACATTGTACTTACACAAATAGCAAATTTATGTGTGATATTTACGCTGTAATGTTTTTTAACTGTTCAATGTTACAGTCGTATGTATACTTTACTAAATTTTAAAAGTTAAAAATACTATCGAAGGAATGATTTTTCTATGAATGCTTTTGTTTCGTTAAAATATTAATCAGACTTTAAGTTTCAGTAAACATCGAAGTTTGTTACAAAATGATAAGGAATCACAGTTAACTATAAATTAGTAATAGTGTATTGTGTGAGGTTTTTCTGTTAGCAAAATTGCTTTCCAGATGTATTCAGAGAAAGTCTAGAAAATGTCAATATTAAGTTCGTAAAATATCGAAAGGTGAAAATAAAAAATAAATAACATTTTCACCTCTTAGCTTCCAATATAAAACATTTGTAAGACTATATGACTCTTAAGTTTATACAGCTACCCAATTCTACGTAAATCTCATATTTAGAAATACTGTTTTAGCCTGTGGTTGGTGTTTTCTGAGTAGGTTAAATGTTATTACAATAATGACATTTGAGAAAGGATCATTATTTTAAAAGTATTATAGAAGATAAAGTATTCTGCATGTGCAAAATCTGGTAAATATACTGGGTGGTTTAGAGTTATAACAATTTTCTTTGTCATAAATTGCATGACGAGAATGAAATTGTGTGACTAACATGCAGATGAAAACTACTTATTCGATCAAGATTTTCAAGATCATTTTTTACAACAGTCTGTACATCACGTCTTTATGAATTAGGCGAACAGGGTATTCCGCAGGAATGAATTTCTTGTGCGTTTTCTTTTCCCAATCAAAAACAGTCATCAATTTTGCCTTTTCTCGAACCGCAGTTTCTGTACCTTTGCTGATACCTTTCCAACCCAAGCAGATGATTGTTGTTTCTATCAGGATCATAAAATAACAAGTTTCATATGTATTTTATTTTATTTTTTGAAATTTTATCTTTTTCCCCACTTTGCAAGAAATATTTGTTACTATGCTTTGCTCAGCTTTCAAATTTGCGGCAGCATGTATTCCCTGCATCAAAATAGATGATTAACTGCACAGAAAATTCTATTCGTAAAAGGGGATTTTAGAAAAAGCTAATTGAGATATGATAGGGTAATAAATTTCGTTAGTTCCTAAATATTACTATCCCCGTTTTCAAAGAGCCCTAAGACTGCCATCAAGTTTTAATGAAGTTAAGTTTAAGAACTACTTAGCAAATTATGTTTAATTCTGGTATGAAGTTTGATATTATTCTAAGATTGCTCTTAATATAGCTTAAAATTTTTTCCTTGCCCCAATAACCTCCGCCGTGCAAGCATTAAACTTACCAATTTAAACACATTCTCTCTCCTCTTAAAGGGTTGTGTCGAAAGGGAATATTATTCAGGTTTTTCTCGTGACTGTTGTACAATAATAAGTGATCAAGTTTAGGAAGGTTATGTGTTTGGTAGTGTTCGTACATCCCTTGGCATCATTTAAATAAGGGGCCATAATAACAAGAAAGTGCCTAAATTTCGAATAAAATATTAGTTTTTACAAGTAGAAGAAATTAGAAGCTGTGCAAAAAATTGAGATTTAGCATAAAAGAGTTTTAAAATTTTATAAGGGTAAATAAAATATTATAATACCTCTTATGTTATAAACATGAAATAAAAGTTATCCATTGTAAGCAAAGGAAATATAAATTATATTTACAAATACAAAATCCTCAGTTGATATTTATACCTGTCCGCATATTTACCGTACCAATGAATATATCGATATTCAAATAAAATAATGTTATAAAAATTAAACTGTATAAATATACATATGAAGTAACTTCCTACAGTATTTTGTAAAATCGTTTATAATATTTTAGCATTTCTCTAAACCTACAGTAAATTCTGATAATAAAAATGTACTGAAATATATAAAAATAGAAAAATCATTAACATTATAATATTCTTAACTGTTACGCATTTTTCCGTCAACATAAAAAAATCGCAGAGGTCACCAGTCATTTCAAAGTAAGTTTGAAGAACCTGTTTGTTAAACTATCAATAACAACAGGTTATAGATATAGCATGTAAAACACGTAAATATGAGTTCAAATTTGGTTCAATTCAATAGTTTATCCACTTTTAGGCTATAGAGCCCTAGTTATGTGATATTAACTCAAAAATTCTTCAGACTCTAGAATACTATAAAGTTGTAAGAAAGTTTTAAATAAGAGTTCTTCTTCTTCATAAGCTCCACAGCCTGTTACAGGCCAAGGCTATCTCTCCAAGTTTTCTCCATCTGACCCCATTAGGCGTAGTAGTCTTCCATCGGTTAACTCCAGTTAACCTTAAATCTTTCTCGACATCATCTATCCACCTAGTGAGTGGTCTTCCTTTTCGTCTTACTCTCTCAGTTCTCGAAAAGGTTATCTTTTTGGTTGGAAATGCATCATCATATATAAACACAATGACCCAGCTATCTAATACGGTATGCCTCTATGATACTCGCAATATCAGTTTCACCAGATTTCCAATATTTTCCATACAGAAATAAGAGTTCTATCTACTTGAATTTAAGGAAAAAGCACCACTGGTGCATGCAAAGAAGACTTCGCCACTTGCGAGTAGTAAAATAATAATGTTGAAATTTCAAATTAAAAGTATTGTAGCTTCAGGCCACAGAAATCTGGCTAAAAACCTTAATGACACCTTTAGCCAGTAATATGGTTAACGGCGGAATGTATTCGCAGACGGAGTTGGGTGGAAGAAAGTAAGTCACTTTCTGCCTATGCTTGATAGCTAAAGAACGCCTTTTGCTTGGTTGCTTCTATTAAAATTGTAATGCATCACCATCAAAATTGTGGGGTGTAGATTGTCCCCGATGTTCATGTATGCTGTCATAGACATATTCAACAAGTAATAAATATGTGTTTGGATTATCAAGTGATTTTGTAATTTTTCAAAAGTTCTTGGCATCGTCTGGTACATAATCTAAATTTCAGTGATATTCTCACTTCAGTCCACCCGCTATTGCAGAATAGTAAACGTTTTCAATAGTCAAATACTCATCTAATATCAAATTATTTGCAACGAGATAAATTAGCTTCACATACACATATTTCTCTCTCTCTCTATATAAAAACCTTCAGATTTTAAATTACGTCTAAAGGGGCGTTTTTTTAACATTTTGCCTGTTACCTTTATTTATTAAATATCATGTTCTTTGCAATTCAACCATAAAATTCAGTTCAAGAGCAGTATCGAAAAATAATTTTAAATTGAGGATATCTTTAGAATTTCCAACACAGTCTCACGCGATGGAGACAAAAATGTTTTTTCTGTACAACGTTATCATGCTTGCTTTGAAATAATTGAATTTGTTAATCCAAAATTTGTTAAAGTTTCATAAAATATGAAATCGGTAATAAAACAAATTCCAAATTTCAAATTTGGGCTTCCAGATGCCCATATTCGCATTACGTCATTCAAAATTTGAATCGAAAAGCGAGAAAGTTTTAGCTATCGAAAAGCGAGAAACATCCATCCATTTATGGAGATTCTTCATTATTTAATTTCTTCAAATATAATACAGGGCGATAATATTTGGTGGCAACAGTTTGAAAAGTGAAATGGACATTCAGAGTGATTCGACGCAAAATCATTGAAAAAGGCCCCTTTGGACTAATAATATAGTCTTTGTTAAAGTAAACGAAAATTCATTGAAATTTATGGAAATATGAATTTTATCAATATTCATTTAAGAAATTGCAAGTGGTAATATGTCATTTAAAAACAGAAGGCGATACTGGTAAAAGAAACTAAAAATATTTTGTTATTTATTACATTTTATAATACATTTATTCCCATATCCATGCATTTGGTAATATTATTTTTTCTTATATTTATATAAATTAATTTTTTTTTTCTTCTTGTGCTTTTTCTTTTCAGATCGTAGCAGTGATCATGTGTAATACAGGTATTGCGTTATTTGCATACATGGATGGCGTCTCTTCGCGCGCTGTTACCCTCGGTGGGGTTGTATTAGCCGCATCAGCAGCAGCTGGAACAGCAGTTTATAAGGTAAAACATACAACCTTTCGAGATTGTTCCTTTCTTTTTATTTTTTTAAAAGCAAATTTGTTGAAGAAGATATTTGGAGAGGTTTTAGGCCTAGGAAGAAAGGTTTAGTTAGTTATAAATGCTACTAAATTTCTTTAATAGCTTTTTACATTTAAAAAAAATAGTTTATATGCATTGTTTCGAAATTAAACATATAAAACCAATGCATATATTTCTGTGATGCTCAGATATCATCTTGTGAAATAATATTTATTTATTTATTTTTAGCTTTAGTTTTTTCCTGTTTACTATGCATATGTTAACTTTTTCAAAAAATAAACTGATTATTTTGTCACAAATATAAGTAAGAATGCGTACAGATTTATGTTGATGTATAAATAATTAATGTAACTTGGGTGTGATCGTTGTAAGCTATTTATTTTTTTATCCTTTACTAAAATCAGTATATTAGTTTAAATTAGTTGGCAGCAGTTAAACTTGGCAGCAGTTTTTTACATATTATCCTTATTCGATTACTTAATTACAATGGTAATTGAAATGATTATGATGCTATTTTACAAAATATGCCTCCTGTTTGTTTTTCAGCACTTTACTAATGATATTTTCTATAACTAGTGTTGCTTACTTAATTGATTGCCTCTTTCAGTTTAAAATTTTTTACGTGGTACTCGAACTTAAAGCTTACCACTAAAAATGATTCCAAACAAAAAATTCTGTACATTATTTTATTATGATTTAACTAATGTAGGCCATATAATGTGTAATATGTAACATATTACATAATATGGAAGATAAGACTAAAAGAGGTCATATGAGGAAGTATTTTTCTTAAAGAGTCAGAATCTTTCCATACAAATTCAGAGGAATAAAAAAATCTTGAAATCAAGTGAAAGAAAAATATTACACTACAGTTATTGAAACAAATACGCAACTAAAATTAATTACGTAAATTTCTACTGTCCAGTGAGCCCACCAGCGGCCGAGCGGTAAAGACCTTGAACACTGGTAGTTCGGTCCGAGGATCGAATCCCGCGAACGGGCTGGCTGCATGGGCGTTTTCATGGTTTTCCCTATGTGTAACGTGTATACGAGCCAGTTTCTCTTAGAATGTCCTCCACGAATGCATTCCTCCCCTTAGCCAGATAGCCTAGTGTGCTTTGCCATAATTGAATAATCCCAATCTACTGTCCAGCTCACTTAAATTTCATTTTCCTTGTCTCATTCTCTTTTTTTTTTTTTTTTTTTTTGAAATAATCTTACGAATATACTAACGGTCAGGATTAGAATACGGACTTTAATTAAGGATATAGAATAACTAAGAAGGAAGAGCAATTTGATATTAGTATTAAATATGTATAATAATTTAAAAAATAAAAATATCAAAATCCCTGTTCCTTGTGGAACTTTTCATTTATACAGATGATGGCAATCAATAGTCCATAGAATCATATATGTAGTTATTATTATTGGCCAAAAAGGGCTATGGGTCTCAAAACACAATTTTGCGTTGTTCACTTATCATTCGTATGTGTTGCCATTCGGAAGACTGTAACATATTACTCTTTCCTACTTAATTTGTCTGTTATTAAATTGCAAACTAAACTATTTAAAAGAAATCAATGCAGTTCTTAAGAATAGTAAAATTTTCCTTTTTTTTAATTTGGTTGATTTAAATGAAATTACTTTTAGTTCATGGTATACCTAATTAAAAACAATAAATACTTAATAATATAGAAATAATTGTAAATAGAAATACATTGCATATTTTTATAAAAACAATTGTAAATAAAATAATTTTAAATAGGATTAAATTTTTAAATAGTTTCTCGCATAAGTCCAAAAGGGTCGTTAGCCCCGAATGGGATATTAATCTCGAAACGACATGCTTTGATGTTTTGGTGTTTATTCTGATGTACATCAGGAATTTATCCTCTTACCAAATCACTGAAGTAATTTCACGTTGAGCCTCCCTCATGCAGGTTCCTCAAAACTCACTCATGCAGTCACTCTCAAACTCATGAGAGCAGAAATGGTAAGACGCTTTGCTTCTCTTGTCTCACTAGTGGGTGAGATTACGGAGTAACTGGCGTTGAGCATGCGAGTCGAATCCGGGACGAAACATCATTTTGCTTCTTTCAAACTGTTGACACCACATATAGTATTACATTTGCCCTGTACTATATATATTATGCACGTTGTTGCCCTATATTAAAAATTAAATAATGCAGGATCTGCATGAATGTATGTATGTTTCTCGCATTGTCAAAAAACAGCGGTACCTGGAGCCATCAGATTTTGAATAATGTAATCCTTCACCCTAACGCGGCCACTTAGAATCCCAAATTTTGAACTCGAATTTGTTTTATTATCTATTTCATATTTTGACAAACGTTAGCGAATTTCTGATTAACAAACTCAACGATTTCAAAGCGAGCAGTGGCAACACTGTACAGAATAAAACATATCTATCTCCAGGGGGTGGGACTGTCTATCGGGAATTCTAAAGATAAGCTGTTTTTAAATATTTTGTTATTTTGCTGTTCAATCGAATTTTATGTGGCGTAATCTCCAAGAATGGGGTATTTAATAAATAAGCTAAACACACAAAACTTTTATAACAAAAAGAGAAAAAAATATTGGTATGCTGAAAAAAAGCAACTGTCTTTGTAAGCAATAAGCTTTGTAAGTGCAAAGAAAATGGTTCTTAATAATAAAGCTAAAGAGACAAAAAAAAGGTGGGTTAATAGGAGTGAGTGTCAACAGTAGACTGGTAGACTGCAAGCTCAGGGAGAGCTTAAAACAGCTTAAACCCTTTTGGACGACCGCTAAATTCTAAAAACTTTAAGACTTTTTATTTCAGTATTTAAATACGCAGAAGATATATAATGTTCCCATGTTTGCTTAAATGCATATTCATCTAATACCCGATAAATCTTTGGCTATTCTACCTTGGCCATCTTTATCGATATCTCTACTGATTGACCATATTGAACTTTAAAAGAATCCTTCTAGATCATTAAAATCTATATTCTTTCAGACATTTTGTTTTTGGTTTGTTTTTGAAAATGATACAGGTTTCAGTATTTTGCAGCAGCAAATATTATTTCAAAGACGAAAAATATCCTATGGTAAATAATATGCTTTTTAAAAGTTGGATTCATGCAGAATGTAATTTATTTTTCTGTAAATATTTTATTTGGGTAAATCTAGCTCTCTTCACTTGTTACTGAAACGTGAGCCAATGTGGTCATCTGCAACAATTACTGGACGAACTAGTTTCATTTAAAAACAGTTTTGATGAATTACAATAGATGGCGCCACTGACTGTTGCTTTTCTAGCTGGAAAAACTTTTTCAGACTTTCAACCAAAGGCCGTCAGTGTTACATTGGCTTAGGAAGATAATATGACACATTTTTAGTATTTCTTTAGAAAAAAAAAAAAAAAAAAAAGAAAGAAAGAAATCTATAGCTTATTTGTTTTTAATGCCATAAGAAAACTGTTTTTAAAAATTTAGGGTTAAAATGCGGTTTAGCCCATTGCTTAGCGATTGTTTTTCAATGGGCAATAAACGCGCCAACATGGCTAACCCGATGTTTTGAAGCTGTGTTGTTATTCTGTTGCCACTAAATGTTATCGCCCTGGTTTATTTTAAAGAAATTAAATATTGAAAAATCTGCATAAATGTTTCTCGCATTGTGATAAAACAACGGTACCTAGAGCCATCAAATTTTGAATAACATACGTTTCCAACCTAATATGGGCATCTGGAAGCCCAAACTTAGAATTTTTTTTATTATCTGATTGATATTTTGTAAAACTTGAAAGAATTTTTGATTAGCAAAATCAAAGATTTCAAAGCGAGCAACGGCAACACAGAACCGGGAAAAAAAAAAAAAAAACATTTTGACGAGCAGAGCGCAAAAGTGTGTATCGGAAATTCTAAAGATATGCTCATTTTAAAATTATTTTGCGATATTGCTGTTGAACTGAATTTTATGGTTTAAGTGTAAAGAACATTATATTTGCTAAAGAAAGGTAATACACAAAACGTTAAAAAAACGCCCCTTTGGGCGTAATGTAAAATCTAAAAGCTTTCATTTTTTTATTTTTTTTAAAATTTTTACTTGTTAATTCTGTTGCGGTTTGAATGTTTTTATGTGGTGGTTCTTTTTTTAATCGAGTGTTTCCCCCCCTGTGGGTTTTAGCCTTTTTTCTGCATATATTACGGAAACGGCGTATAAAACGTTAGTAAATTTATTTAAAGATGAGGGGGGATCCAAAAGTGTTTCCCCCTGAGATAAATTCATATATAAAACCCCTCAAAAAGACGTTACATTTTTCTTCAAAAGGGTAAGTAAAAAAAATGTTTCTTGTATGGTTCGTTTTAAATATGCTTATTTTTAATATTTTGTATTTTTTTTTGGCTCGATCCTAGAAGATTGGAAAAGCTGAGGTTGTGCAATTCTCTGATGTTTTTTAAGTGAAAATAGATCGATATGTACATGGGCAAAGCCAATGCAGTGCGCAATGCCGAGTTTGTGCAATTCTGGGATGTTTTTTAAGTGAAAATAGATCGATGTGCACATGGGTAAAGCCAATGTGGTGCGCAATGCCGAGGTTTGTGCCTCGATGCCGAGTTTGTGCAATTCTGGGATGCTTTTTTAAGTGAAAATAGATCGATGTGCACATGGGCAAAGCCAATGTGGTGTGCAATGCGAAGGTTGTGCGCGATGCCAAATTTGTGCAATTCTAGGATTTTTTTTAAGTGAAAATAGATTGATGCGCACATGTGCAAAGCCAATGTGGTGCGCAATGCCGAGTTTGTGCAATTCTGGGATGTTTTTTCAAGTGAAAATAGATCGATGTGTACATGGGAAAAGCCAATGTAGCGCGCAATGCCGAGTTTGTGCAATTCTCTAATGTTTTCTAAGTAAAAATAGATCGACTTGCACATGGACAAAGCCAAGGCAGTGCGCAATGCCAAGTTTGTGTAATTCTC